CGTTGTGTTGCCATACATACTAGTGCTAAAAAGTTGCGTGCGAAATTCGGTAATATTTTCTATTTTTGAGTTTGTGTAACTCACTTGGTGTTAAACGTAGTATCAAATGGATTTGATATTGCGATCCTGCATTGTCACAGCTATAATTAGAGTCCAAGAGTTAATTAGAGTTCTAGCTCAACTGGGACCAAAGATACCGTTTTTACCCAAAACGGTCCCTTTTCCTCTTGGGGCGCTAAATTTAGCTCTGCAAATCTCGAAAATCGTTAGAGCCAGTGGGGTTAAATTTTGGAGCATTTCATAAGTATTCGATGCCAACCCAAGTAATACAGTATGTTGATGAAACGTTTTCGAAATGTTGCCTATGTTGCTCTATGTTGCAAGTTGCTGTACAACATTGAGAACACATTGTTTCAATGTTTTCACTCGGAATGTTGCTGCGACACTTCTACGAATTTCATTGCAACATAAGCTATCAACATTGAGAGAATGTTGACACTCTTGATATCGACAACGTAGCGACAACATTCTGATACAACATGGACCTAGGGGTTTTAGAGAATTGTAAAGTTGTCCTCCTTGCCACGAGATGGAGACGTAGGTCTCGCTTTCACACAGTACACAAAAGTGCTCTTCTCCCTTTCCCTGGAGTAGTCCCGCACTGGAATGTCTAGTACTTTGCCATATGTCTCGCATTGTTTCATTATAGGAATCAATGAACACGGACACGTCTTCACCTGTTATCCTCATTTTCCTGACAGATTAATGGGGTCAAGATAAAAAACTCATATTCTCAAAAAGAACTCTTTTCCCAAAATTCGTCGAATTTATTCTACTAGGCAATAAAAAGAATGGTAGAGAGTCTGCTGTCTCAATGCTTCCTATCCTCATCCTGGGTACTAGCTGAGGAAAGGAAGTATTGATCTCGTGGGCACCCATAGAACATTGCATTCGGACCTTTTCCTGTATTGTGCAATTTAGCACATCCAGGGGAAGGTCACCTCCAAAAATGTACTGTCTCCTGCCTGTACATGATACAGTTACTGTGTTATGCATGGGTAGAAGGTAAAACCAGTACAGGCTTCGTCCTGTTGATGAGAATTTCTGGGCAGAGAGGTAGAAAGTATATGGTACCAATGCCAATATAGGCCCAGATTAAGTGAGTGAAGCAACGTTTTTAATCAACATAGCAGCAACATAAATCCTGAAACGTCTCTTCAACATATATGTAATGAATAAGTAACGATTTTCAACGTAAATGTTCCTTCGCAACATTTGAACAACGTTGACGTTTTGGACATTTACACATAGATGCAACATTGTTCATCGACATTTCATAAACGTTGCTGGAATATCTTGTGTTACTTGGGAACATGCCCAAATTTTCTCAAGCCAATCGGAGTCTGAAGCCCTACGAAAGTGACTAAAATTTGGACACTTGAACGGGAATGCCTCTATGACTGTAACTAAAATTGGAAGAAAGATTCACGTTTGATCTGGATGAAACATCCACTCCAACGGAAAAGACATGGAACGAGTAGATGAGCGAAGGGTCTCGGCATTAGGGAGGCTCATTTTGCATGATCTTCCGGCTGTGAGCATGGAAGGAGCAGCGGCCTTGCCCCTGGGTGCCATTGGTTCTAGGGAATCCCCTTATGGGGATAAGGAAACTGTGATCACGCTGAGATGTACAGTATATCTGTGACCGTCGGTCAGTCTATTGTGGGCTGTGTCGTTCGGAGTTCTCCTCGGACTGGGGATGGAAGAAATGACGACGTGTTGGGAAGTGCTTTGATATTGGAGGGGGTTTCGATGGGGAGGTGAAGAGTTTGAAGCCTGGAGGGGAAGAGTAGATGATGGCTGGGTTCCCACAACTGCATGATTTGTGTTCTGTCCGTCATTCTGCACTTCCCAGGAGGTTTGGTGAGAGATGAACTACCGAGCGTCGTGAAAGATTGTTGTCCTGGCGAGGGCAGGTATGTCGTGGTCGAGTCGGGAGGCATCCGGTGTAAGGGTCCCATCGAAAGAGAGATTGCATCTCCCCTGATGCCAGACTGCAAGGACTTGAAACCAATGCCAGTTCAGGAAGACTCTACTCCTTCCTTTCCGGACGCGTCGTGGGTCTGCGACCCAACGAGGTCGTCGCAACCCGAGGAACGGTCGGAAGGGCGGCGGTTTCCTTAACCTATGGGTTGCGACCCGCGCGACCCACTCGTGGGTCGATGTGGGGGTTTGGGTCGCCAAGGGCAGAAATGCCATAAACACAAGTACGATTTAATTTCTTTTGTCGTAAATGGTGTTCTTCCACCGGCATTATTTTTCTATCGCTCAACCACATTTCCCCTGGGAGAAACATCCGTGGACTTCTCCCGTGCGAAGACGGAAGCGAAATCGGGCAACACTGCAGCGGTGTCTCTCTCTCTCTCTCTCTCTCTCCCCCATCCATCACGAACGATTCTCCACGCACCTATTCATCGTTTCGCATTCGCTCGACTTCCGAGCGGAACGAGAGCCAGCGGGATCTCGCTCGGGAGCGTGCAATCACCTTCCGAGGGCTCTTCCGCGGTGGTTCGTCTTCCGAAACGGGAGCGTGGACCGACGGCCGATGCGTCGCTCCGGCCTTCCCCTCGCTGGCCTGGATCCGAGTCGTCCCGACTCGTCGCCTGTCGAATCGAAAGGGAAGAGGACAGCTCTCCGAGCAGAATGAAGGATGGAATGCGGCGGGAAGGGGTGATCCGATCGCGCGCCGACGGAGGGGACGGAGAACGCGGAAGGGAACAATAGACGATGGTGAAGTTTGTGGAACGAGTGGCTTGCGTTTTCCCGTTCCTCCTTCGCTCGACCGACGGCGGGAAGGGGTGATCCGATCGCGCGCCGACTGAGGGGACGGAGAACGCGGAAGGGAACAATAGACGATGGTGAAGTTTGTGGAACGAGTGGCTTGCGTTTTCCCGTTCCCCCTTCGCTCGACCGAAGGTCGAGTGGGAAGATCGGATGAAGTCGGAGAGATGGAGTGCTGCCCGCGCGGCGTCCGGTATCCGGACGCGAAGGTGGTCGCGCTCTCGCTCGTGCACCTCGCGTCCGTCCTCCTTCTCGTCGCCTTCCTCCTCGCCGCCCTCAGAGGGAAGGGCTTCGTCGGGTGGGCCCGGCTCCTCCACGTCGGCTGCCTCCTGGCGGCCACCGCCTCCGTCTGCGTCGTCGTGGATGCCGTCAACTTCCACGTTCACGATCTCCTCTGCTTCGCGGCCGGTCAGTTCCACTCGAGTCCACCTGCCCTATCCCCTTCAACACGGTTTTCCATTATTTAATATCCGTGCTAAACAAGAATATTGAAAAAACAAGTTTTTTTTTGTTGTTGTCAAAATTCTGCAATTTATGCACTTGACTGACTCCATAATTTAAAGACTTACTTCCTCGTATGATACCTTTCCCCCTGTGAGCACGCACCGTGAGCACTCACCGTGAGCACTCACCGTGAGCACTCACCATGTGCACTCACCATGTGCACCGCGCGAGCGCCATGTGTTTCGTGCCGGGCGCGTCAGCTGCGTGCGGGTGGACGGCCTCGAATCTTCTCTCACGGTCGCCATTTCCCTTCCAGAGTTGTCCGGGTACTACGGGGGGATGGCCGGATTCTTTTGGCTCTGCATCGCGAGCTTCGACCTCTGGTGGAATCTCGGGTGAGGACTCGCGATCGCCGCGATATTCATTCTCGGCCACTCTCCGTTCGTGACGGGTCGAACAGAATGGCAAGCAGAAGGCCGGAAAGTCTTTTTCTTTTTTCCCCTGTGGGAATTTTCACCTTTGCAAATGAAAAAAGTGATAACTTGAAGCCACTTGACCAGGAATTTCCGACGGTCGGTGTCACAATCTTTATATCTTTTCCCCCCTTCAATATATTAATTCTAATGAAAGCTAGACAAGGAAAAGTTCTCCTAAAATCACGAATTTCCCAAATATAAAGATGTAACACTTTTTTTTAAAACTATTGGTACAAACTCCAACAGAAAAAGTTGAACATCTGAGACCATTCCTCATTCCCGGAAATCATCTAACGAGCATGTTTGACCAACAGGAAACGTGTTACTGCCATGCGCGTAGAAAATGCACGCATAATTAATCGCGATACATTATCATTTTAGCCTGAATGCACGACTCCATTCACAAGCCTAAATTAATCAAGAACATACACTGGACATGGCCAAAGCCAAGATGGTCACGAAGAAAAATACCGTCTCTATACTAAGGTAACAGACAAAGTTGAACAAAAAAGAGGAGAATCTAATAAGATAGTACGTAATATCAAGCAAAGGCATTCCACAATACACACAACCTTTCTTCAATGCAGTAGGGCGGCTATATTGATACATCCGAAACATATGAGGGCATACTACTCAGCGGACCAATGATTACGCATTGCCATTATTTAGTCCTTTTCAAGCTTCACCAAAAATGACGATATTAATCAGAACAACTAGAGGTTCCGATACCATGGTATGCCTCCGAAGCAGTCTCTCCTTTCAGAGGCATCATCTAAATGCATGAGCTCATAACCATGAGATATGGAGAGGAAAAATGGGAACCACTGCACACAGGTGTTCCATTTTTGCTCATCTCACCAACTCAATCACTTCATCTGCAACAACCACTCCGTTGGTATGAACTTTGAGTCGATACGCATATGAAAGATCGAATTCGTTTCACTCCCATTCTGCAAAACGACCAACGAAGAAAAGGCCAAATGTCAAATTGGTAAATGATGGGCTCACTGGGATATTCCAATAAATAATAAGAGATGAGGACATTTTGAAAGCACTCGATATATTTCTTGAGAGAGTGTAAAAAAATGCATGCCAATGAGGGGAGACGAAAATGATCGACATGCGCTCTTTGGCGAAAGGAAGGAAACCATCATGTTCATTCAGACTTCCCTCAAATATTCTAAAATGTCCATATCAAATGGGTGAAATATTTCCCTTTCTTTGATGGCATCGAACGCTTCAGCAATCTTTGATATCACAATAATCCATGACGGCAACAGTTCCAGGTCCATAATAACACCAATGTCCATTCTTGTCTCCATTTGGATTTCGACAAAAGTTGTGAGAAGGATGCAAATCGTCGGGGAATAATTTATATTGCACATAGAAAAATGAAGTTACTTCAAAACTAGGCCTCTTCATCCATGGCATGCACGTGTGGCCGGATGCGGTAATGTTCTTGGTTCCGATATACCCGTCTCCTTTTCTGTTAGTTTTGCACTCCAATGGACCTAGTTAAAAATAGGCAATGATCTTATGGAAAGCAACAAAAAAAGTGGAAAATTCATGGAATTATGTTCCACTAAGACAGAGACTGTGATTGTGATCGATTCAAAGAAATTCAACAAAACAAAGAAAGTAGACTCACTTATGCAATTTCCCGAGACACGAACATCGCATGGTTCTTCTGTCCGATGACAAAAAGGAACATCGCAATACTCCCAGCCGATCAAGGTGTCCGATTGCCAAGTATTACACCATGGACCATGGCCTGTGCTATCAGGGTTGCGGCAAAAGTTGTGGCTCCCATCAACTTCATCGGGAAATGCTGATAGTGAATCGATAACCAATGTGTGATCATTTGGAAATCTTGTCAGCCAATATTGGCACGGATATCCCGATATGGTCGTATTCCGCCTTCCTACATATTCACCGCCGCTTCGCGTCAGCTTGCATTCGGGCGGCTCTAAAAGAGAAGAATAATGACACTCAATTTCTGAAGCAGCCAACTTCTCTCCGATTCAATTGAGGGACGCACCGAGTTTATGACAGAAGGGAATGTCGCAGTACTCCCACTCTATGTCTGAGTCAGCGACGAAGCACCATGGCTTTTCTCTATACAGAGCAGGATTCCGGCAGTAATTCTTATGGATTGCGGGATCAACGTTGATGAAGTGATCCGAATAGACAATTTTCTGATTGAAGAAATCCCATGGAATTCCATACAGCTGAGAGTCCCAATTAAGGCAAGGCTTTCCCGTTTCTGTCACATCCTTTGTCCCAATATATTCTTTACCTTTCTCCGTCAGTCTGCATTCTGGATACTCGCTCTCCTCGGGTCCAACTTGAACTTCTTCTATCTCGCAAAAGGGAATGTCACAGAATTCAAAGTTACGATTTCTGTTTTCAATGTAACACCAAGGAGCGACGTCTCCATTAGGGTTGCGGCAGAAGTTGTGTGTCTCCGCAGTTTCTTTGTAATCCGGAAATCTCGGTGAAAAGAACGTCCCCATTCCTGGTATTGTAATTCTCCAATGTATCCCCCAAGATTGGCATGTTGATCCTGAATGGCTCACACTCTTCCTTCCAATGTATTCACCACCCTTTTGAGTTATCTTGCACTCTGGAGGGTCTGTTCATAAAACAGTTGATTGCAGTCATCAGCTATTTCTCATTTCTCCACAGAAAGTGACCATCATCGGGAAGTTTTGAGAAAGTAAAGGGTGCTTTCAATTGCATGTATGTGTTTGCCTCAAAAAGTCATTGGAAAACTGTTGTGCTTGATTTTGAAACCTTATAAAGCTATGAAAACTGGTGGATGGTAGACATGGATGGAATGCGCCCTGTATAATGAATTGATTAAATTCTAAAATTAAATCCATTAGTTAGACGCATTGTGATGATACTCCATTCTCGAACTTGAACTGGCACGAAACTGACTCACCAACAGGAGTTTGTGGAGTATTGTCCAGTGTGGGACGTTGAGAGAGCTTAAAGTTAGTTTTTCCAAAGAAAGTGAATTGCCTGAAACCACTTTGGAAATAAATGTCAATATGTCGTTTTTTCTATTTGATTGATTGATACCATTCGACCCAGTGCCTCCCGAGCATGTGACATCTGAAACTTGGTACATGTGTACCTTTTTGGTTGCAGAGTTCAGAAAAAATCCGACTTTGGAGGTACATGAGCTAGGGGTACATATTTTAGGGGGAGAAGTTTTAAAAATATATATATCATGATGGATAAGATTCTATTTGAGATATCCAGTATCGGTGGTGTAGTGGTAGCACATCGGGCTGATAAGCAGGAGGCCCATGTTCAATTCCCACCAACTCCATGCCTTTTATTTTCTTCTTTTGCCTTCCAAGTCCCGTTGCTTGAATAAAACGGAGAGAAATGGAAAGCAAAAGCGTGGCATGGACGTGCCAAACGAAACGATGAGTTCAGGAAAAATGCCACACATTAGATCCATGCCCTGGGGGCTCACGTTTTCAAGTATTTTTTTTGTCCTGGTGTATTGAGCTAGTGTGAATGATGAAACTTGGTACATAATTACCTACCGGGATGCTGCATGCAGAAAAATTCAGACTTTGGAATGAAATGCCCTGTGGGCATGAATTTCAAGGGGAGATGTTTTCACAAAATTGTCGTGGTGAATTGGACAGAATTGGAAAGGTGAAACTTGGCACACGTATAATTGCTATGGAATTATTCATTTCGGCGTCGGCTTTTTCAAACATGATTTTTCACCAGCGAAGAAGGCAAACGTATAATATTGAAACTTTGTGGGCATGTAGTTCACTACGGTTTGATTTCGGTAAAAATGGTAATTTTCGGTTAAAACGCCCGAGGACACATATTTTGCAAATTTTCCTGAATTTTCTGATCCAGCAAATCGGAGGGTGCTAGAAAGTTTAAACTCGACAAAGAAGTACCTGATGAATAGATGAGTAAAGAAACACTTCTATTTTCATATTATATATAGATGACCGTGAGTAGCTGACTGACAAGAACCTATTCACATGATGATTTCAGGAAAAATTCCACTTTGGTGATACACACTATAGGGGCACACCTTTTCAGGGAACATATTTTCAAATATTTCTCTTTTGCTTCAATCGAACGAAGACTCAGGGAAAGCAGTAACATGGCAAGATTGTGACTGGTGAAGCACTCAGCTCAAATGACAAATGTCAAATTTACAAAATAATTATTGGGGACTTTTTTTGAGGGCGCAACGTTTTCAAATAATTTTAAATTTCCTAGCAAATCGGGTAGAAATCTAAAAATTGCAGCTCCGCACGCATAACGGACGTGATGTTGATATAAGGAATAAAAATAACTTTCGTTGAGCCTCTCTCAGAAGACAGCTTTTGGGCTTTTCCAAATAAATTTTTTACCGCCACCAAATAGGGGAAATGTATAAGGTTAAAACTGTGTGGCTTTGAGTTCCCTGAGTCTATATTTCAGAAGAAAAAAAAAATTTTTGCCGGACCGGCAAAACAGGCAGATATAAAAAAGCTTAAACAATCTTCATGGTATGGGCCCTTGGCAAGAAATGAATACCCTCAAAATGCTACAAACGACGAAAATACTCTGGATTTCACACTATTTCTGATCCCATGCATTAGGAGTTCATGGAACTCCCTTTCTCTTCGTTTCACCTGCGTCAGGCGAGCTCGGGTGGGAAGGGCTTGGCTACTGGCCCTGTGCTTTGGGAAAAGGACATTTTGTCCTTTATGCAGAATTCTCCACAGAAACTCTTCAAAGCAATATTAAGTGATTTAGAGTAGTACATTAATTAGGATGATGTAGTTGATATGCGGAAAGCTATCGCGATAAATTCATCTGCATTAATTTCCTAAGAGAACGTGTAGGGTGTCCCATAGGTCACTATACCATTTCATATAGCAATATATTCCAAACTAAAAATTGCAAGTCACTGTTGCTTGAATTGATGGAAAGTACAATCTTTAAAAATTACTTTTATGATAAAGACTTTGAAACAGCATTAAACAGAAATAGCTTCAAATGCATATTAGTAAGGAAGGCTTTCCCTTTAAACATTTTTCATCCGCTTTGTTGAATGACTTTCAACGAAATAGCCAAACTTCTTTCTTTTTCTCCACCAAATTGGGACATACTGGAGAAACATTACAAATATTATTGCATTAAATTTGATTTCGATGTATTTGTCTTTGTCTTTGTTTTTTTTTGAGGACTTTCAGAGAACCCATCCGATTTCAAATAGAATCACGACTTTTTGGGGGAGTTGAGCCTCATGTCAAATGAATTGATGTAGGCGGAAGGCATTTTGAGGCACTTGCGAAACTCAGAAATACCTCCATTTTATAAATATAATTCAAATTAGGTACTGTCACTAACATATAATCAGACACATAGTATATCCAGTACAATCGGCAAGTGATGCGGGCACATATAATGACAAGGGGACTATAATTGAATCATTACCCTTATCCGTGCACATGGGGATATCACAATATTCCCATTCAACAGCGTCCATGACGAAACACCATGGCCTCTCCCTTCCAGATGGATTGCGACAGTAGTTCTTCTGAGACATGATACACACTATAGGGGCACACCTTTTCAGGGAACATATTTTCAAATATTTCTCTTTTGCTTCAATCGAACGAAGACTCAGGGAAAGCTGTAACATGGCAAGATTGTGACTGGTGAAACACTCAGCTCAAATGACAAACGTCAAATTTACAAAATAATTTTTGGGGACTTTTTTTGAGGGCGCAACGTTTTCAAAGAATTTTAAATATCCTAGCAAATCGGGCAGAAATCTAAAAATTGTAGCTCCGCACGCATAACGGACGTGATGTTGATATAAGGAATAAAAATAACTTTCGTTGAGCCTCTCTCAGAGGACAGCTTTTGGGCTTTTCCAAATATATTTTTTACCGCCACCAAATAGGGGAAATGTATAAGGTTAAAACTGTGTGGCATGGAGTTCCCTGAGTCTATATTTCAGAAGAAAAAAAATTTTTTTTTTTAATCAGGACATTTCTGTAAGTTCCATTTTCGTGAATTTTTTTTTTCCAACGAAACAGAAACAGGAAATTTAAAACTCCCTCAGAAGTACCTGTTTGATGTCTGAGTACAGAAAAAATCGCACTTTTGAAATACGCACCCTTAGCGTAGATTATATGAAGGAAGTATTTGAAAATGTATTCTCCACACTTACAAAAAAGTTACTCATGAGGATGTCATCGAGAGATGACTTTATACGCCACTGTTTCGGTGGTGTAGCTGTAGCACATCTGACCGGTAATCAGAAGGCCTGGCTTCAGTTACCGGCCATTCCAGGCCTTTTTTTCGCTTCTCTTGCACTCCCATGTCCCGTTGCTTGAATAAAACAAAGTGACATGGAAAGGTGAAACGTGGCATGGACGTGCCTAACGAAACGAAGAGTTCAGGAAAAATGCAACACCTTAGATCCATGCCCTAGGGGCATATTATGAGGAGCTGGCGTTTTCAAGTATTTTCCCCTGGGGGAATTTTTTCGAGAGGCGATGTTTTGAAAAAAGAAATTGTTTGGGCGAATTGGACAGAAATGAAAAGGTGAAACTAGGCACACTTATAAGTGACATGATATTACTAACCTGAGGGAGTATACAGCTTTAATGGGCAATCCCCTCCGGGCATAGGTTTTGGTTGGTTCGCTTTTCCAAATACATTTTTTTTCCGCCAGCAATAAGGGGAAACGTATGAGGCTGAAACTGGGTGGCATGGAAATCCCTGAGTCTACATTTCAAAAGAAAAAAATAATTTCATAAAAAAAAACCCATTAGGGGAATTTTTTTCAGCCCCATCTTCCTGATTTTTTTTGATCCAACGAAACAGTGGCAGATAATTATACTTCCCTCAGAAGTACCTGTTTCACAGCTGAGTAGAGGTAGAATACAAATTTTGAAATATGACTTCTTAGCGTAGATTATTGGAGAGAAGTATTTTTAAATGTATTCTCCACCCTTAAAAAAAGGGGCATAATAAAAGATATCAAGTTTGGCGCACATAGAACCATAGAGGTAATGATTCAGATAAAAATCAAGACTTTCAACCCCATATGTCATTTATTCAATATTTCAATGGGGACGTACTTTAAATACGTGTTTCCCGTTTCGCAAAAAATGGATGAAGTAATCACTATCCAAGGTAATAGAGCGCCGAAGGCGCGACCATAGCGAGTTTGTTTGCCCGAAGGGCAAACAAACTCGCTAGTATATAGATAATCTCGAGTGTTTGAGCGACTGACGCCTTCTCCGCGTTGAGATCTATATATCTGAAGCATTTGTACATGAGTGGTGGTTGGGGCAGTCAGTTCAAGTCAGTCAGTTTCATTTTTGAAGTACCGTACATTTATTTTAGCCATTCTAGCCATTTAGCCAGCAATATTAAGTGATTTAGAGTAGTACATTAATTAGGATGATGTAGTTGATATGCGGAAAGCTTTCGCGATAAAATCATCTGCATTAATTTCCTAAGAGAACGTGTAGGGTGTCCCATAGGTCACTATACCATTTCATATAGCAATATATTCCAAACTAAAAATTGCAAGTCACTGTTGCTTGAATTGATGGAAAGTACGATCTTTAAAAACTACTTTTATGATAAAGACTTTGAAACAGCATTAAACAGAAATAGCTTCAAATGCATATTAGTAAGGAAGACTTTCCCTTTAAACATTTTTCATCCGCTTTGTTGAATGACTTCCAACGAAATAGCCAAACTTCATGTTTTTTTCTCCACCTAATTGGGACATACTCGAGAAACATTACAAATATTATTGCATTAAATTTGATTTCGATGTATTTGTCTTTGTCTTTGTTTTTTTTTTGAGGTCTTTCAGAGAACCCATCCGATTTCAAAGGGAATTACGACTTTTTTGGGGAGTTGAGCCTCATGTCAAATGAATTGATGTAGGTGGAGGGCATTTTGAGGCACTTGCGAACCTCAGAAATACCTCCATTTTATAAATATAATTCAAATTACGTACTATCAGTAACATAATATCAGACACATAGTATATCCAGTACAATCGGCAAGTGATGCGGGCACATATAAGGACGAGGGGACTATAATTGAATCATTAACCTTATCCGTGCACATGGGGATATCACAATATTCCCATTCAACAGCGTCCATGACGAAACACCATGGCCTCTCCCTTCCAGATGGATTGCGACAGTAGTTCTTCTGAGACCAGGTATCAAGGTTGGAGAAGTGGTCAAAATACGTGACGTCTTTGAGAAAATCATCGGGCGTTCCGTATGGCTGAGTGTCCCATCTCAGACACTCCTTTCCTGATGTCGTCTTACTCACCTTCCCTACGTATTCTCTTCCCTTTTCTGTCAACAGGCATTCCGGATACTCATGCAGTGACTTACCTGCAAATTATAAAGTTCTAGTAAACAATCAATGGAAACATTTGGATTCACCCAGGAAAAAGCATTTTCTTCCAGGCATTCCATGGGATATTGAGGGTAGGAAATTACGTATAGGGCAAAGAAATGTACCTTTGATGGATTTGACCACAATAGTGAGAAGACACGGAGAAGTTTGAATAAGTGTCTCCCAAAATATGAAACTACGTTTTAAGTAAGGTCTTCATAATGAGGCAGATGAGTGACGCGTTTAAAATGGTGTTTTTAGGTTGCCATATACCTTTCAAAGTGGAGACTCCTCACGGGAGGATCCAACTCACTAAAATGAACCTGAAAATACATACTTGGAACGCTAGTAACTTCAAGTTTACCTCTGGAATCGCAGACAATACGAATCATTTAGCTGTGTTATACGAAAACATCGAAGGTCGGATGAAAAGGGAAATAATGGACAGAACTTCATTTCTCAAGGTTGTCAATGATAATTGGTTATTCTTCGTTTGGTAAAATGTGCAAAACGGTGAAAGGAACTTTTATTAACGCTGGAAATAACAGAGGAGAGTGGAAATCCGGGTGCTCGTAATGAAGCGATTTAATGAAAGCTCCATGTCTCAGATGAGTCTCTCCGCCGATTAACCGGTTTATGACAGGAAATAAAACTATGAAATGAAACTTCTATGAAATAAAACAATTGCATTTATCGACCCCGTAACACGCAGTATCTTAGTCAATGCGACCAAAACGAGTTATTATGATGGGTGCTAAAAGAACCAAGTCATTCCGGTATTACGTACACATGTGTACGTGTCGTACCCACAAAAAAGTGTTTTCCGAAAGCCCAGATGGGCTAGATTTAGATTTAGGCTAGATTTTTGACGCCATTCGACCGGCTTCGTCAGGGGGTCCACGGCCGGCCTAGAGCATCAATAGCGTTTACAACCTGTTTCTGCAGTCAACCTAGTGTCACAGGAGTATTAGATAGAACTTGGAAGTACTGCCCATTCCAAGGACAAACCCAGCTGACGTCTCGTGAGTGTGCCAATACATCGCAAGTGTACACCGCAAGAGTGCCAATTTTCCTGGCTTTGATGCATCTTCCATTTATCTATCTATCTATACCTGTATATATATATAGGTAGGGAAATCTTGGAGCGGGTTATCGACCCGCGGCGAAGTAATATGTGAGGTTATCAAGAGATGGTACTCTTATATCATGTACCCGTACTAGACCGGACAAGGGAACTCAAGCCAGAGGATGGCCATACAAGGAATTGAACCCACGACACCACCGTCTAGCGGATTGTGATCCCGACATTCAAACTACTAGACCCCTAGTAGTTTGAGTAGTTAGACTAATGAAATCTGCTTCCAAGTCGGAGTCTGGGAAAGGGCCAGTTGGAATTCGGCTTCAATCCCATTGTAGATATTGGGGCAGGGTCTAACCGTGTGGATTGTGAGCTCGCATTCAAATACAGACTTACGAAAACACGCTTTTTTGGGCAGGTACGGTGGTCTAGTAGTTTGAATGTCGGGATCACAATCCGCTAGACGATGGTGTCGTGGGTTCGATTCCTTGTACGGTCATCCTCTGGCTTAAGTTCCCTTGTCCCTTCTAGTACTGGTACATGATATAAGAGTACCATCTCTCGGCAACCTCACATATATATATATATGCATAACACCACGAGTCACCAAAGAAGATAGCAACAGGATTCAGCAAAATCCTCTACGCAAGCAAAAAGTGATGTCCAGGGAATTGGCCATCTCGACTAGAAGCACGTATCGGTTGATTGACCCTAATCCGGGCAAGGTGAGTCCGCTGGACTCACTACGACATATTTCAGTCAGTCAGCATTTTTGCAAGCAAGAAGTGAAGACATCAGCCAAAGAAAGGAAAGGAAAGAGTTATTGTTAAAAAAAAAACCTTGTAACAGTATTTATGACAGGACTTGGGGGGTATTCAGTACTTACTCTACAATTTGCATCTACAACCATATCACCTGACGCCAAAATCTCTATGGATAGATTTTGAGTCAGACTTGTGACTAAAAAATGTATTTTTTTCAAATCTGAGCAATTTGAAAAAGTTAGGTTATGTTAACCCATTTTTGGGCTTAAACCGATTTTGGATGAAATTAATATGCATGTAATAAGTTTCACTTGTGAACATAAATTGTATATTTTTATTATCCAAATGTGAAGGGTTTCAAAAAGTCATGTTACGTTAGGTTAGGTTAAATTATTTTACTCTTTTCTAATGGGACTTTCAATAAATGCCTTCTGCATAGCCAACAACTTAGAATGATCATAGTTTTGGAAGTAATCAGTGAACTTTAGCTGGGAATTGGATATTCTTAGGAAAAAAGTTGTAATTCATTAAATAGAAAGTTAATTATCCGTCGATACATTGTGACCCAACCTGTGGGTTAGGCCAGGAGGAATTATCTGTGCGCTCGAGAATTGTCCATGACGGAAATCAACTCAGTCCAGTCCGATCATGACACTCAGTTCAGCTAAGAATGCAGCTATTACATCAAGCATGAGACACAGCCCGACCACAACCACACTACACAACCAGAGAAAAAAAACTTATTTTCCTGGGTGTGATAATCATAATTAAGATCAAATTATAAGAAAACTCAAAACCTGCTTTCAAGACAAAAATTATTTTTAAATGACAATGTGGCTTCTAGAAAGGGAAATTCATAGCAGGCGACATACTCGTACAAGAATAAACACCAAAATTTTGATCGGATGAGGATGGCATAGAGATGAACGAATATCAAGGGTTCGGTGGTGTAATGGTAGCACACCTGACCGGCAATCAGGAGGTCTAAGTTCTAGTCCCAGCCATTCCCTGGCCTTCGGTTATTCATGCCTTCCGTCGTCTCGTCTATTTTAGCCCCACCCTGGGAACATCTCTCGTACTCATTGGAAATCAACGCAAGTGTTAGGCATATGCATCATATGCCCTCGCAAATTCGCCCAAGGTGCAAAAACGTGGTTCTATATATGACGCAATAGTTGAGGCCACCCACATTTGAGGAGGCCTTCCATTGCCGTATAATTTTGGACGCTTAGTGATTAGCCCATCTTCCGTCGAGAAGGGTTGGGGGCAGCGTCAGGAGTCTCAATGCACAGGGCGCCGAAATTAATAGGGCCAGTCCTGGTGGCAAGAAATAAACAGAAATCAACACTTTTCAACAGTCTTCTTATACATTGAAGAAGCCATGGGCACTGAATTGCACGAAGGACTCAAAAAAACTCCTAAAAATCAATTCATCAATAAATACCCTATGGGTACCCAATTTCATGAACAACACAATACGTTGTGTCTCAGTAAACAGTACATCAACACCTTTTAACCAAGAGTAGGAATGCCACAAATAGCCGTTATCTTCTTTACACAATTATTATACATCATAACCTAACCTGTGCTTCATGGCCAAATACAGCGACGAGGAAGTTCTGTGGCACTGTTACCAAAGCAAAATGAAGAAGATGGTACATCAACAAAACAGAGAAAACATCCACAGATACTGTCTCACATAAAGAACTTCAATTAACGAATGCAAAACAAAAGAAATTATGTTCACAAATAAACACCATCATCGTAGAAGAAGAAAGGTCCAACCAGAAAAGAAAATCATTACTCCAGAAATGACAGCATCATTTCTTGGATAAAAATCACAAGATTCCCCATATATCTTCACTGGACATCGACGAAAAGCAAAAATATATCATATTTGAATCATTTCACTAGAGCAACATTGAAATGTTGTGCAGCCATTTTTTAGCATGAAAAGAAACGATTACAAAAACTCCCAAAAATCCAAAACCAAACTTGCCTGCAAACTACTGCTTCAACCTCCAGCAAAAGAAGTTCAACTTCTGGAATCATTCTTAATTCCTGGAAATCATTGGACGAACACGTATGACCAACAGGAACCTTGTCACTACACTGTGGATAGGAAAACGTGTAAGCATAGTTCACCATGATACACCATCGTTTTGGCTTGAATGCATGACTTCAGTAACAAGCATACTATAGTCACGAACATAAATAGCCTACATAAGCTCGCGATGACAGACATCGTCTCTACGCTGAGGTTACAGAACAAATACTGGAGAAACGGAGTTAGTAATATCACACAAAGGCATTCCACAATACAGCCTTACTTCTCAATGAAGGAGGACTGTTACGTTGATAGATCCAGGACATACGTGGGTATACCACTCAACGATTACAAATGGGACAAATGAGTACGCATTGTCATTACTAAGTCCTATTCAAGCGTGACGAAGACGATATTCAATCAGGCCAACTTTGGGTTCTGATACCATGGTATGTCTACGAACATGCCTCTCCTATCAGAGGCATGATTCAAATGCGTGAGGTCCTAAGCAACGGACATGCAGTAGAACAAGGTAACCACCTCACACATGTGTCCCATCTCGGCAGATCTCACCAATTCGTTCACTTCATCTGCAAAAGCCATTCCGCTGGCATTGACTTCGAGTCGATGTGCATATGAAGGATCAAATTCGCTTCACTCTCATCCAGAAAAATGACCAAAGAATGAAAAGCCAAATGTAAAACTGGAACATTAGGGTCTCAATGGGATGTTCCAATATAAATATGGGGAAAAGACATGAAGTCCATCATTCACTTTCTTGAAATCGAACGTCAAAAATACGCTTGCCAATGAGGGGAGGCGCAGAGGATCAACATGTGTTCTAGGCAGCCGGGAAGGAAACTACATCATCATTTTCATACAGAACTCCATCAAAGATGCAAAAATTACTACCACCATTGGATGAAATATTTCCCTTTCTCTGAAAGCAACGACCACTTCAGCAAAATCCGATTTCACAGTAACCCATAGCAGGATCAGTTCCATATCGATAAAAACACCAATTTCCATTCTTGTCTCCATTAGGATTGCGACAAAAGTTATGAGAAGGATGCAAGTCGTCTTGGAATGAATTAACTTGAACATAGAGATCGTAAATACTTTTATAGCTTGGCCTCCTCATCCACGCCAGGCACGAGAAGCCTGACGCGGTAATGTTCTTGGTTCCGATATACCCGTCTCCTTTTCTGTTAGTTTTGCACTCCAATGGACCTAGTTAAAAAGAAACAATGGACTGTAATGAAAAGATATGAGAGGAAAACGTATGGAATTTTGTTCCACTGAAAAGGAGAAAGTGATTATGAACAGTTCCAAGAAATTTTAAAATAAACTCAAAATGAAAACCCACTTATGCAATTTCCCGAGACACGAACATCGCATTCTTCTCCTGTCCGATGACAAAAAGGAACATCGCAATATTCCCATGCGAACGTGTTCTCTGATTCAGAAGAATAACACCATGGACCATGGCCTGTGCTATCAGGGTTGCGGCAAAAGTTGTGGCTCCCATCAACTTCATCGGGAAATGCTGATAGTGTCTTTGTAATCAATATCTGATCATTTGGAAATCTTGTCAGCCAATGTTGGCACGGATATCCCGATATGGTCGTATTCCGCCTTCCGACATATTCACCGCCGCTTCGCGTCAGCTTGCATTCGGGCGGCTCTAAGAGAGAAGAATATGATCATTTGGAAATCTTGTCAGCCAATATTGGCACGGATATCCCGATATGGTCGTATTCCGCCTTCCTACATATTCACCGCCGCTTCGCGTCAGCTTGCATTCGGGCGGCTCTAAAAGAGAAGAATAATGATACTCAATTTCTGAAGCAGCCAACTTCTCTCCGATTCTATTGAGGGACGCACCGAGTTTATGACAGAAGGGAATGTCGCAGTACTCCCACTCTATGTCTGAGTCAGCGACGAAGCACCATGGCTTTTCTCTATACAGAGCAGGATTCCGGCAGTAATTCTTATTCAATTGAGGGACGCACCGAGTTTATGACAGAAGGGTATGTCGCAGTACTCCCACTCTATGTCTGAGTCAGCGACGAAGCACCATGGCTTTTCTCTGTACAGAGCAGGATTCCGGCAGTAATTCTTGTGGATTGCAGGGTCAACGTTGATGAAGTGATCCGAATAAACCATTTCCTGATTGAAGAAATCCCATGGCATTCCGTATGGCTGAGATTTCCAATTGAGGCAAGGCTTTCCCGTTTCTGTCACATCCTTTGTCCCAAAATATTCCTTACCTTTCTCCGTCAGTCTGCATTCTGGATACTCGCTCTCCTCGGGTCCAACTTGAACTTCTTCTATCTCGCAAAAGGGAATGTCACAGAATTCAAAGGTACGATTTCTGTTTTCAATGTAACACCAAGGAGCGACGTCTCCATCAGGGTTGCGGCAGAAGTTGTGTGTCTCCGCAGTTTCTTTGTAATCCGGAAATCTCGGTGAAAAGAACGTCCCCATTCCAGGCACTGTAATTCTCCAAGGTATCTCCCATGGTTGGCATGTCGATCCTGAATGGCTCACACTCTTCATTCCAATGTATTCACCACCCTTTTGAGTTATCTTGCACTCTTGAGGATCTGTTTTAAAAGAGTAGATTTCAGTCATTGGCAACTTCTATTCTCTACGGAAAGTGACCATCACCTGGAAGTTTTGAGAAAGTAAAGGGTGCTTTCAATTGCATGTACGGGTTTGCCTTAAAAAGTCATTGGAAATTTATTTTGCATGACTTCAAAATGTCAAAACGCTATGAGAACTAGTCAATCAGTAAGCTGACATGAAAGTGCGGCACCCACGATAGCTTTTTGAAATTTTCTTCCCTCATTCAATCTTCGTTAACAATATGAAATTAGAAGTGATTATTGAGATTATTGAGAGTGTTGAGAACCATTTATGGCTTCCGGTGTTGCATAATGCATTTCTGTATCACCGCTGAAGGAGTGTATGGGGCATTCTTTGAAAATATGCCCCATGGTTTGAATTTCGCTGCATTAAAATGTGAGTGAATCTTTAATACGCTATTTTTACTAAAAATTCTGCGAAATATATTCCAGAGATTTTTTATCTCGCTCCGATCTCGAGAAATTTACATTTGACGGTAACCTATTTTTTCTCCTGGCGCGTATATGGACAATGGAATTGTCTGACTATTTTTTCTATAGCTATTAATACTCTTCAATTCGAGATACAAACTTAATTTTGGTATCATTTTAATTGTTACTGCCGTCTATAGATTGCTCAAAGAACATTATTCTCCGAAGGTAAAAAGAAAAAAAAAAGTGAAAAAAATGAATTTCCACTTCATCAAACACTTTCATTAAATTCAGTCGAAAATATCTACACTTGCAATGGTTGATATTCTTGGTTTCAATATTTGATTCCAAGTTTGTTTCATGCCCTTTCCAAACGATACCAAATTTGATATTAACATCCAATTGCCTCATGATGTGCTGTATAATCATTCGATGGAAAGAACAGTGTTCAGTGTTGAGGACAACGGCGCATTTTCCCTTGGTTCCAAGCATAGCCATCTGGGTCCTGCTCCTTCCGTCAAATGATTATATCTCATGAGGCAATTGCGTGCTAACTGAGTATGCCCAGTTTCGGCCCTTAAACCAACATCAAAGATATGTGTATTTTTCGAGAGGGCTTCCTTAGCCAAACCTAAAAAAAAAATTATTTTAATCCGAGCAATTTGAAAAAATTATGTTAAGCCCATTAGCCCATTAGCCCATTTTGGGAGTTAGCCCATTTTGGCCTCAAAACTATTTTGGTGAAATTAAGATTCATGTAATAAGTTTCACATCTGAAAATGAATTGTAAATTTTTATCCAAGGGTGAAGGGTTTCAAAAGGTTTGGTTAGGTTCGGTTACATTATACTTCTATTTTCAAATGGGACTTGTAGTAAATTTATTTATAGGTTAGATAAATGTCACAGGTACCTTCTTAGAATAAGCATAGTTATGGAAGCAATCGATGAACTTTCGCTGAGTATTGGAAAATCTCGCAAATAAGTTTCATTGTGATTCTTTAAATGAAACATAATGATTCGTAGATACATAGTGAGATTGTACAAAATACAAATCAATTGTATTCATTGTAACCTGACCTACCCTAATCTAAACTTACTTTTTCAAACCATTCAGATTAGAGTAAAAGTGACATTTTATTACACTGCAATGGACATCCTATCAAATGATATATGTTTACTTGAATTCGGTTTAAGGACCAAAATCACATTATATTGGGCATCCTCCTTTGGTAGAAACGGTATTTAAAAAAAAAACTTGGAATCAAGTATTGAAACCACGAGTTTCAACCATTGCAAGTGTAGATATCTTCCACTGAACTTAATCAAAACTGATTAGGTCAAGCTTTTTAACTTCGGAGAATACTGTCTTGGAACAAGCTAAAGTATTAACAAATTAAAATGACACCATAATGAAGTTTTCATCTTGAATTTAAGAGAAGCTTTAGAAGAAAGTCACACGATTCCAGTCTATATATGTGCCCCGAGCCAAACGAAGGTTAAATTCAAATACATATATCTCGAAATCGGAGCGAGATGAAATAAATATCTGGAATATATTTTCTCATAATCAATTCCTCTGCATGCAGACAGATTTCTGTCAAAATCGAAGATAGTTGAGCTGATCCTCTGCATAATTTTGTAGGCAGTGACCTATAAGTCATGAAGTGTAACGCTAATTATGACTCTTTTTCAGTTGTTCCCGTTTCGCCACCTACTAATATACCAAATTGCTTGAAGAGGAGCAAACACATCGATTGATAACATTCAGGGCACCAAAAAAATGTAGGTAACTTTTGAATTATCCTGTTTACTAGATAATCAGCAGCAGCCCATATGAGGATGAGGGAAAAAAATGAAATCATTACCTCCATCCGTGCACATGGGGATATCACAATATTCCCATTCAACAGCGTCCATGACGAAACACCATGGCCTCTCCCTTCCAGATGGATTGCGACAGTAGTTCTTCTGAGACCAGGTATCAAGGTTGGAGAAGTGGTCAAAATACGTGACGTCTTTGAGAAAATCATCGGGCGTTCCGTATGGCTGAGTGTCCCATCTCAGACACTCCTTTCCTGATGTCGTCTTACTCACCTTCCCTACGTATTCTCTTCCCTTTTCTGTCAACATGCATTCCGGATACTTAAGCAGCGACTTACCTGCAAATTATGAAGTTCTAGAAAAATCAATGGAAACATTGATTCATCAAGCAAAAATAATTTCATCCAGACCTTCCATGGGAAATTGAGAATAGGAATTTACGTCAATCGTAAACGAAAGTACCTTTGAGGGATTTGCCCAATATCGTGAGAAGAAATTGAGGAGAATCTTGAATCAGTCCCAACCTACTGATGTCAAAATATGAAACTACGTCCTACGTATGGTCCTCATTTTGTGTCAGATAAGTGACTCATTTTAAATAGCTGATTTGAGTTTCCTAGCTTAGAGACTCTTCACGGTAGGATGCAACTTATTAAAATGAACTGAAAATACATCTTGGTATCATATCAGCTCCTTGTTTACCTCAAGAATTGTAAAAACTATGGAACATTTGGCCTCCTGCATCAAAACGTCACACTTGGGATGAAAAAGGAAAAAACGGACGTAACTTCATTTCTCATAATTTTTAGAAGGACGTCGATCCATCTAATGGGTAAAATGGTAAAAATGGCTTTTATTAAAGCTCAAAAACTACATTGCAAAGGTGCTCAGAGGTAAGTGATTCTCTGAAAGTTCGGTGCCTCAGATGAGACTCTTCGCCAATTAATCGGTTTTAGGCAGGTGGATCGTCGCCTTAAAAACATGTTTAGGTATTATTAAATATGTATTATTTGTACAAACATTGCAACACTTCCTTGGGGTGTCCTATGCATTATTTGCATTTAGCGACCGCTTAACACCCAGTATCTTAGTCAATGCGACCAAAACGAGTTATTATGATGGGTTCTAAAAGAACCAAGTCATTCCGGTATTACGTACACATGTGTACGTGTCGTACCCACAGAAAAGTGTTTTCCAAAATCCCATCATCTCAACCCCCCAAAAAGCACCTCTTTTCTTTCAGCGGAATGAACATTTCGTCATAAGCTCCTTTGAAAGCCCATTATCTCCAATAGGGACCATTTGACCCACTAATAGGAGGAAATAGCAAGGCATTATCTTTCTTCCCTATTTCTTCATAACCTGTTGCTTCATTTTCCTATCAAAACAGTCCCCCAAACGCTATATGTGCTCATAGATGAAAAACTTTTTGAAGAAGGATGTACTCTATTGAAACGGAAATTCTCAACAATTGAGTGTCCATGCATCATAATTTATAACCTTGAGTTCGACATTCTTACAGGTTATGATGTCTTCCTTGAAGGAGCTGCACCAATAATCAGATAATGAAGAAGAGCATTCAGCCATGTGGAGTTGAGAACCATCAGAGAATCCTTCGGAATGCGGACAACGGAGAATAACCCTTCCACCCGGTGGAGCTGGGTATTCTCCGCTCCAATCCTCGAAGGATACCTTGGCGTTCTGAATCTTTGGATGCTCCGTCAGGCACAGTCCTGTGTTTTAGACAGACACATTTATTCCTTAAGTAAATTACTGAAAAGATTTTCACCCACTGACTCACTCTGAACGTAGGATGTAAATCCGTTGTCCTCCACAAGGTCACTTTTCCCATTGAGAACCAGCTGGCATGAACCGTCGGATTCACGATAGTTGAAAGCATAGCAGGGAGGTGTCTGAAGAATGCATCTTTTGCTGCAAGTTTTGAAATTCTCTTT